ATTGCGCCCAAAATGGTGAAAATTTCGAACCCCCCCCCTGACTTTAAAGCTGGATCCGCCCCTGCGTTGGAGCTGTTCAAGGTCGTTACTTTTGACTATCCGTTACTAGTCGTTACTCTGACTGAGCGCGCCATTGAACTGCACACTCGCTTATAGTCAGAGTAACGACTAGTTACTCAACCGACTCCTCTATTAGAGACTAGCCCTTTTGCCACATTCTGGAACGCAGCTTCTAACCCTAGTAGGGGAAAATGGCACGATATCTTCTCACTGCGTTATTTTAATTTGCTTGGAAAATGCAAAACTGCACCCCTACAGCTAACCTGTTGAAAAAACTCCCAATAGCCTGCAGGAAACGTGCTGATTTTCCAGGCACACTGGCCAGTACCGGAGTGACGTACGTCTCGAACCCTGCCAGCGTCGGAGGGTACAATTCGAGCCCCTACAACAGCCTCGGGCAGCACTACAGCACCAATAAGTCCCTAATGGGAACCACCGGGATGAACAGCCTGGGCCACCATCAGATCGGCTTGGGGGCTGGATCGCTTGGACAGCAATCGGTTTTAGGTGGGTTCCATCTAGAGGGATGAGAGGCGCAGATGTAAATTGGCTATTTGCAGGCACTTTGATGCAACCAATCTCCAATATGACTGGCAACGTTTTGGGGGGCACTTCGTTGGCCTCTAGCGGCCTGGGCACATCAATGGTACCCTCCAACTATGCGACCAGCTCCATATCGAACACCACTTTCACAAACCCGCTGGCCTCAACCAATCACAGCAGAGTGTTGGGTGAGTTTGCTTCAACTTTGCCGATTGCAAAAGGCGCGTTGGTGCGGGTCAGTTTCTCCCTCGCAGGCTGTTTCGTTGGCTGCTTTGCCGGCTCGGTATTCAATTTGATATATATATGAGTGGCATCAACAAGAAAATGGCAGGAAAACGGTAGCCATGAATATATTTAGTGTTATATTTGCTTAGTTTGTAAGAAGCGACAAGCAAATGTCATTCAAATAACAGCGTGGAGATTTTATATTTAAAAATTCCCAAGAATTTTTGGCGGTAATTACCAGAAAACCTAATGAAACATTCATCATGACAACACCGCAAAGGGGGGGAGTACGTGATAGTGAAATGATAGTACGAGGGGCATACGATTTGTTGGACAAATAAATACGGCCTTTTCTCGTGTTTTTGGTGATAACAACTGATGATCGTGATATTTATAAACTGTTGCGCTTAAAAGAAGTCGTGCGAAGTCGTTTCAATTGCAGGAAAATCGCCTAAATTTTCCTAACCTGTACTGTTCTGCACGATTGTCAACAGGGGCCAGTGGCGTGACTTGTTTTGAATTTATAAGCTAACATATTCGATCCCAATTGAATCGCTATCAAATCCTTAAAAAATTTGCGTTACTATTATAGCGTTTATAATTTCAAACATGTAATGTAGAGATAAAGGTCAGAAAACGAATGAATCTTTCATGCTTAGAAAAAATCGATAATACAGATTTGTACTACGCCTATGGCTAGCAGCCAGGCCAGTTGATTTTCCGATTATGCTACTTTTTGCTCGGTACCTACTTTATCCCTACCACCTGTAGGTTGGACTAGCTTGGTCTATTTATTAATGTCTTTGGTTCCGGCCAATCGCGAACTAGCGGGAATAGAGATGCTCTGCACCAACAAATTTTCGTTGGTGAAAAAAATCGCAATTTTCCCATTTGCAGGCCAGAGCTCCTCGTACAACAATCCATCATTCAACAACCCGATATCCAGCACCCTGGGCCAGTACTCCACCCTTAACCAGTACTCGAATCAGCTGCCGATCGTCACCAGCAGCTACAGCAACGCTGTGACCTTTTCAAATCCACTCAGCTCGCAGTTTAACAGTTTAGGGGCCACCCAGATGAGCATCAAGCTGAAAGCCATGGACGAGGTTGATCTGGGTGCGTTTTCCATTCACTGCCGCTGTTGCCACTGCTTCTGATCGGCCCCGCTGACTCCGATTTTTTCCCATCAGGGCAGCGCCGGGCGGCCACCCCCGTTACCCCTCACCCACCGCCCTGGTGCGGAACGTTGGGTATAACTGATCTGCGACCGCGCATGCTGGCAGATGGTTTGGACTCGGACTGGAGTGGGGGTGCCACTGTGGCAGGGTTGCCAAGTGGGGAGCGCAGCTACCTGAACGGCCAGCAAATTCCTGACGGGCAGGTGGACATGCTGGATATACCTGGAAAGGGGCGGTGCTCAGTCTATATTGCCAGGTGGGTTTTTTTGGGGAAAATTCCCGTTTTCAACTGGGATTTTGCAGGTTTTCCTACGATCCAGAGCCGGAGACCGAGGAGGAGCTCAGCATAGTGGCTGGGGATTATTTGCTGGTTTGGGGGGAACCGATGGGGCCGGGCGGCTATTTGGACGCAGAACTGCTGGATGGGCGGCGTGGGCTCGTTCCGGCCCATTTCGTGCAGCGCCTAATCGGTAGGTGCATCACAATCCTTCAAGAATTATTCCCGATTTTTCCCGGAACATTCCAGGCGACGACCTCCTGGAGTTCCACCAGGCGGTGTTGTCAACGCTGCGCGAGGAGGAGATCAATCAGGAAAACTTCGCGGCCGATGTGGCGCGATTGAACGAGCTGGCGGAGATGGCCGAACAGCACGAGGACGACAACACTGGGCCCGAAGGTGAGGCAGGTACGATCATTTCGCATGCGCTCTTCTCCACTACGTTCGGTGTTTTGTTCCGACGCGTTTTGATAGAAGCGGCTAATTGTAGCCCCCTTGGAATACAACGTTGCCAGTATCTAATGTTATGGCAGGTATCGTGTCAAGTGTCAAATCTTAAAAAGGTGAGGTTAGAACTGTTAAAAGGGGGAAGGGAAGTGGTTTGGTTTATGTCTGACCACGTTTTGACTTGAATGTGTCAAAGTAGTATCAGTGTTCTGTCGTATTAACGTACAAATAATAACTTTTGCTTCAAATATCTTAAATAACTCGGTAAATTTATAACAATATCTTTCTCATTTTCTCTCTCTCTCTCTTTCTATAATAACGCCTGAAATCAGCTGAAATCTGGCAACGATGTATTCCAAGGGGGCTACAATTAGCCGCTCCTGTTTTGATGGAGGGAAGATTTTTCAAAACCAATGAACAATCACCCGTTTTCTGTCAATCGGGAACGCAACCGGCATCGGTCGTCTCACTCTCATTCATGGGGGGCTGAGAGAGATGCAAGATGACCAGCCCATGGCTGCGTTCCAACATGACACATTCGCGGCTAAAATGTTTTCAGTTTTGAAAGATTCCCATTGCTATTGAATAGCAAACAAACACCACACGAACATTTCCAGTTTTCGCAGTGCAATTTTCTAGAAGTTTTAGCAATAAGAAAAACTGACGATGATGCGCAAGAAAATCGCTTGAAATCCTGCAAAATTCCCCCCAAAAAAAAACACAAAAAATTGTTTTGGGCATCATCGTTTGTAACTCTCTCTAAAAAATACAATAATGTGGATTTTCCGATTATATTGGCGCACACAGTCCAGTTGCACCAAAGTGAGTACTGCGATTGAGCGACCCAGTTTCATCCACCAGTTCTTTAGTTGCAAAAAGTCGCCCAAACTAGGCGCGCCCAACATGCGCCCTTAAACAGCGCATCCTCATGCCGCCTAAAATGTCCACGTGCTCCTGCTTTTGTTGGGCGCGCCGTTTGGAACCTATTTTAGGTTTTTCGACCGCTTGCGCTCGTTTAAATGCACTTGTTTTGGTACTGTCTAGGTTTAAAGTACAAGCACTCTGATTCAGTAGGGACCAGCCAGTTTAGGCTTAGTTGCTTGCAGAAAAAACGAGTTTTCATAAGGTTCCGGTTGGGTCCACCCGGCAATTTTCCCGCAGAACCTAGTTCTCTTACACTTGATCCCCTTTAACCCAATAAAGCTAATACATATGAAACTAGCACGCCTTTAGAACATAGATTCATAGGTTTGCTGTTTTGAAGCCCTGGTTGGTCTTTTAAGCGTTTTTTCTGCTTAATTCAGCCAGTTTGCGATTCATATGGTGCAACCAAATGTGTCCCAGGCGCTCTGTTGGCATCCACCTAGGTGGTTGCCCCGGTAACCAGGCTGGGGTTGTTCCGAGCGCGGACCGAACTCACCCGAAGGACGCTTCGCCTTGGAACAACCCGGTGCCCAGTTGGTTGCACCCACCCTTTTCGGAACCAAGGCTTAAAATGACAAAACCAGGGCGCCACCACTACCCGCTTCATAGGCACCTAGACTGATTTTAGAGTTTCACCTCTCAGCTGATCTGCTGTTTTCCGTACTAGTGCCGGCTCCCAGGCAACTCACGCTAGAGCGCCAGCTCAACAAAAGCGTGCTGATCAGCTGGACCACACCGGAAAATGTCGGGCCTGGCAACCAAATCGAAAGCTACCACGTCTATGTGGACGGGGTGCTGAAAGCGACCATCAAAGCCACCGAACGCACCCGAGCTTTAGTCGAGGGAGTCGACAGCAATCGAGTAAGTATCACTGTAAAGATATGGTTTAATTGCTGTCGACTGCGCCAATAATGCGCCAATTGTCTCATTAAGCCGCATCGCATCAGCGTTCGCTCGGTCACAGCCAATCGCAGGACATCACGTGACGCCGCCTGCACGATGATCATTGGCCGCGACACGCATCAGCTCGGCCCCAGCGCCGTGCGAGCTTCGAACATAACCTCAACTTCAGCAGTGATCAGTTGGTTGCCCGCCAACTCCAACCATCAGCATGTGGTTTGCGTCAACAATGTGGAGGTGCGAACTGTCAAGCCGGGAGTTTATCGACACACCATTACAGGCACGTAGAAGCTGAGTGTTTGCCATTAAAAGGCTACCACTGGTGCAAATAGTCCTTGCACCAAATGGGCGGGGCGTAGTTGACGTCCGAAGGGGCCTTCGGCCCGATTCGGGCCCGGTCGTTACCACTGGCTGAATTGTGACGTCACTTAAACTAGTCCGACCAGGCATAATGCGTAACTGTACGAATATGAATATTTTAGACAAAAATAATGTCTTCAGGAATTAATATGCTTTTTACATTGTTTGATTTAAATGATTAGCCTTTCTATT